TGACAAGGAAAATACTGCACTCATTATCGGCCACAATTTAGAGCCTTTGTCTTTTATTTTCTTTTATCGAATCAATATTACAAATAAATCGTATTTAAATCACTTTCAGATCATTTAGCACGCATTTTACTCCCTGTCGTTAATCCATTCTAACGCAGATGCAAAGAACGAAAAAAAAATGAGAATAGAGAGAAAATCTAAAATCACTATAAACAGAAAAATAAAAAAACAGTTTTCTCCAGTCCCACGCGTCAGTGTGTCCATTATTCATTTTTTTTTTTTTCTTTTTTTCATCTACAAGCAGAAATTGCAATTTAATCAATTTCATTGATTAATACTCACGGATATGTACATGAATCTTTGATGGTGTCACTGAGGTTAAAGTCCTTATTTCGGGTTAAATTTTCTAACGCTTTTCGTTATCATTGTGCAACTTAGTTTCGTTGTCACTTCCTAAAAATGCAATGGTTCATACAAACCGCTCTTAAAACCAGTATTGTTTTTTTTTCTTGTGGTTCTTTACTCTGCGTTAGTCACCTCGGATTTCACGAAAATGGATAGTCGTCTGACATCTGCCTCCCACGACAACTTAGCTACAACTGCACCACACCGCGTGCTACACACCCGCCCCGTGTCAGGAGAGTAAGGAAAAGGAGCAAACGAAACAAGCTGCCAACTTGCTATTACGAATACTTTAGAAATTTTGGGATAGCAAAACACCCCATGTGATTAACGCAGAGTTAATTAATTAGTTCAACTTGTCTTATGTTCGTCTACTTTTTCTTCACCAACCCATTGTCATTCACGACGTTGGCGATCACGGCTCTCCACAATTTCCACATTTTTGTGGCTCTCAGTAAATTTTGTCTTTTTAGCTTTCTCTCCTAAACTCTGTTCCGTCATCCATTTATAAAATATCGACACGTGTATTATGCGTTGGTTTCCATTATCCCTTTTACATTCAGTATGTCTTGTGAGTGTCAAGCTTTCCAAGCTCTCTTTCCTCATCGCTGTAAAGGGATGTTTACATTGATTTAACTACACGTGTGCACGGAGACAAGTGGACGCTGAAATGTCAAATTTCGGTTTTAAAATAGTCCTTTAATTAAAAGTGAAAACATTTTGTCTTTTTGCTATCAAACACCTAAACCCTGTTCCTTTACAAAATATCGTTATGCAGGTGAGGCGTTGTTCTCCTGCGTCCCTCTTACATTCAATATGTCCTGAAAGTGTTAAATTTGCTATGTCCTCTTTCCTCATTTCGCGCCATAGAAATTATAAGTGCTCTTTTTGTCTTCATTTTCTCTAAAACGTCGGTGCCTACCTGTTCAGCCCATGGTATTCTCAACATCCTTCTGCAGAACCACTTTTCTGTTGTCTCAGTTCTCTTCACATCTGTGACGAAATTGACCATCATTCATAACAAAACACTTCGCTGCTTCTTGCCTCCCTGCTTATTGGAAATCATCTTCTGCAGTCCCAGTCTTTAAGAACTCAGGCGAACTACCTAATCCTTCTAACTAAAGGACCTGGTAGCTTTCTACCACTTTTTGACAAAACACTGGACGTTCTAATTAACCTGAATTGATTAAGCCTCTCACATCGCCGGGACTTCTTTCAGATAATCAAGATGGCTTTCTTTTCTCTAGATAAATTGGTGATTTGTTTACGACTATTGATGAAAGAGTCTATCAAACTTTAGATAGGAATGGTAAAGCTTAGGCCCTTGATTTTGATATCTTGAAAGCATTTGACAGGATTTGACATACTGGTTTTCTTCACAAGTTAATTGGTCTTGGTATTTCTGGAGATATTTTTGAACTGATTCATTCTTTTCTACGAATGACCTTCCTGATGCCTCTGTCTATATTTCTGAGATGAGGTATTATGTACACTATTTACAAAGAAATATGGTACAGTGGATAAAGGCGTTAGTTAGATCCAGTGACACGACCCAAAGAATATGAGTTCAATACCCGGTTAAGGCAGTGTAGAATTTAGAGAGGGGAATTAACAGAGGATAACTGATAAGTGACATCCATTAGACATGTCACACGGAACTAGAACAGTCTAACCGAGTGAGCGAAAGAAAGAGTTCAGTTCGACATTCCAACCACCTGAAGAAGCCCTGAGCGTGCAACAGCCGAGACATTGTAATAAATATGACGACAAAGATGAGGACAAGTCCGAATAATGTAGTGTATATAATAAAAATAACTAGTTTAAATTATTACAATAATATTATCTATAACTATAATTCTCAAAATGTGTGCGTGTGTGTGTGTGGAGAACAGTCTACCCCAGTGAGCGAAATAAAGGGTTCAGTTCGACATTCCAGCCACTGGAAGAAGGCCTGAATGTACAACAGCAGAAACGTTGTAATAAATATGGCAATAAACATGAGGGCGATAGTCCGAACAATGTAAATAGCGACCTTTTCAACACGATATTAGTGCTTTTGGCGCAACTATAACTCCTTAATAGGAAGCTTGATCGGTTCGATGAGATCAAATTGGCAGCGATTCAAAGAAATAACCTACAACCTGGTGTTAAATGAAGCAAGGATTAGATCTGTTATTTTCAACGCCTCAAAAATAAAACTGATCTCTTTTTATAATCTGAGAGAACTCTTTTCCATTCTATCTGGTGCTAACCTCCTGGAGTGTTTCTCATTGAACCTTCTCGAACTAACTTTTTCAGCTGACAAGTGGAAAGGGCATATGAAATCAATTGCTAAGTCTGCATCTAAGAAAGATGGTTCACTATTTCGGGTTCGTCACTTTAATAACCTCCCTGTGTTTTTCTAGAAATACTTTCATGGTAATTGTTCCGATAAACTTTCCGCTATGGTACCCGGAATTTATGAATTTAAGCGCAGTACTAGATTGGCGGGAAGGTCTCATAATTTTACATTTGAAATCGCTAGATGCAACCGCACGTTCTATGCTAACAGTTTCTTCTATCGCACTTCTCGCCTGTGGAATTCTCTTCGAGCTTCTTGATTCCTAGTCAAATTTCATTTTCAAAAATTTAAATGCAAAGCTAATTGTTATCTTTTAGCTTCTTAATTATTGCTCTTTTATTCTCCTCTCTCCTTAATAGCGGGTTTTCTCATGTTCTACACGGCAACTGCCCAGATGGGCTACTTTCTTTGGTTCCCAAACTGCATGAATTTAAGCGTGCTACTTCGTTACCATATCGGCCCCAACCTTTTTACCGTCGAAACCGTTAAATGTAACTGTCTTTTCAACTCCAACAGCTTCTTATCTGGTACTTCCTGTCTCTGAAACTCACTTCCTCTTACTTACTTCTTCTGATGCTGTTATCTTTTTCCCCGCCCTTCTCTTTATCATTTCCTCAAACACTGCTCTTCACTCTTGCTCTCACTCTCTGTAACCCCTTGCGTGCTAGTGGCACTCCCGCCTTGCTTGGAGTGAAATGCTTAAAAAAAAAAAAAAACAACTCAGTAATCAGTGGCTTTATTGTCTTTCTTGGGGTGAAATGATAAAAAGAACTTTTTCTTTTAGCTAATCTCTCCTAATCCATTTTCTTACAGCCAGTTACATATAAACGTTCTTATTCTTATTCTTTGTCTCTTCAGGACGTCGCCAATCAATACTCTCAACAACGACCTTTCTGGTTCTTAGTATGTTGCCACTTTTGTAATATCAACGAATACTCGTTGCCACTTTCGTAATGCTCGTTGTAGTAGAGACTTTGTAATCGCAGATACAACTATAGTAACGCCGTTGAACAATACTGGTGTCAGGCGCCTTCGAATAACACTCACGCTAATAGTACTTGATCGATAATACTCGCTCGAATAAGTAATCACCGAATAGTGATCCGAATAGAGAAATAGTATAGTGAGTTGTATAGAGATAGAGGATAGTGTAGAAACAGTGATCCGTATAGAAATGGAGGATAGAATAGAAAAAAATGATCATTTCTACGCCATATTCCTATCGTTATTTTCCAAGCGTAGCTTAGATGTGGCACAAGGCCGAAAGTATGGGGCATCTAGTGAGGGTCGAACTCACTTTTTCAATTGTAACTGATCTAGCGAGACAAGCTTGCTAACTATTACACCACGCCGAGGTACGCCATATTCCTATATAAGTATTTCCTTTGTCATCACGTGATCTACTTATTTAAAATGCGATCGCCTGTGTTTGCTGTCTGGTGATCTGTGTTCAAACTCCAGTGTCGGCAGCGACACTCTATTCTTATATAACAGCAAGAGTGTTTTTTTGTCTCTCTCTCTCTCTCTCTCTCTCTCTCCTTATCCCTTTTTCTTCCAACCAATTACACATGCCCATTCTTCTTCTCCTCCTCTTCCTACTTATTCTCTTCCTCCTCCTCCTCCTACTTTTTCTCCTCCTCCTCCTCTTCTTCTTCTTCTTCTCCTCCTTCTTCTTCTCTTCCTCCTCCTACTTCTTCTTCTTCTCTTATTATTCTTCTTCTTCTTATTTATAACTTCCTGTCCATTTGTGGCTCTTAGCAAGGATTATCCTTTTGCTATCTCTTTTCTGTCATCCAGTTATACGTGCACTTTCTTCTTTTTCTTCAATGTTCTTTGTCCATACAGTACGTCGACAACCATAGATCTCCACACCTTCTTACCTAGCTTTTAGTAAGATAATTCCGATCACAAGACACCTATATAAGTTTGTATATTTGCTATTGCACCTAACACCTTCGCCTGTCAAAATCTCGTTCGATAGGTTTTTCGCTGCTTTCCTCTGTCTCTCTCCTTGGCTGTCGACAATGTTCTCTGTTCAGTTAGACTTTGTAAAATAGTTTAATACGTGAATTAATAATGTCGGCAAGATATAACCCTATTACAATCCTACTTGTTCTTTCGTTTCTTAATTAGCACGTACGTTACGCCTACAACATCCCGGTATATCAGCAATGCACAGAGTAAATATTTAACTTCTTTTTTTTTAAACTTCTAGGAAGCCCAACCCTGGAGAGCATTGAAGAGTATATATATGTTT